TCTAGCAGGCGATAAGAACGAACAATCGCATGAAATCAGGTCTTCTCGGGCGCTGCATGCGATTCGCCCACTGGTACAGCGATTTATGTAGACTGGTTCGTACAGCATTGTCAAAGGGACCAGTCAGACGCCTGCTTTGTGGCCACATCAACCGTGGCCAAGCTAGGCGTAAGTGGTCCTACCATAGACCTCAAGGTGGGTACGGTGTTGGCAGAAGAGGTGGTTTCATGTCAAAGGGTGCGAGGGTTGGTAGTTAAGGGGCTCCGAGAGGAAATCAGCGTGCCTCTCCCAGCCACGTATTCTAGAGAAAAGATCCCTGCACAGAGTAGTCAAATTCCAAATCGTGCCTTAGCTAGAAATTGGCCCCATGCACCTTGCTGGGGTGGCAGACCAGATGACACCAGTTCTCGCGGGCGTAGAGGTAGGCCTACTGATTGGCATGAACTGTACAAAGGCAATTAGGCCTTTGGAGGTCTTACCAGGTCCGGAAGATGGGGACCCGTACGGTGTTAAGACAGCCCTGGGATGGGGGTGATTGGTAGAAGTAAAGGAGTGCAAAATGAAGTAGCGGGTAGTGAGGTTGAAGAGGAACCTATAAGTCGGCCAAAGAGAAGAGAGATGTTGAAAAGCGAGAGAAATAATGATGAAGATAGTGAGAATAAAGAGGAACTTATAGGACAATCAAGGAGAGGTAGAAGTAAAGGAATGCAAAATGAAGTAGCGGGTAGTGAGGTTGAAGCGGAACCTATAAGTCGGCCAAAGAGAAGAGAGCCGTTGGAAAGTGAGAAGCTGACGGAGATGAAGAAACTCGTGGAGGAGAACCAGGTCGTGAGGCAGGAGCAGCGGGAGCAGCGGTGGGCCGACAGGGAGAAGGAGCGCGAGAAGGAGAGAGAGGAACGGGAGGAGCGCGAACGTAAGAGAACTCCGAGTCCGCAGCCGTCCAAGTCACGCAGCCGATCGCCGTCAGCGGAACACCGGCGCCACAAGACGAGGTCACGTTCGTGTAGTCGCAGGACGCGATCGAGGTCACGCGATCGTCGCCGTCGCTCAAGGTTGAGGTCGCACGAGAACCGTCGAAGGTCAAGGTCGCACGAGCGCCGCCGAAGGTCAAGGTCGCGATCGCGCCACCGGAGTTCGAGGTCGCCCCGCCGCCGAAGGTCAAGGTCGCGGGGTCGCCGCCGCGACGTGCAGATGAGGAGTCGGAGGTCAAGGTCGCGTCGCCGACGCTCAAGGTCGCGGTTGCCACGTCGGAGGTCACGTTCGAGGTCGCGCCGCCGGAGGTCGAGGTCGCGGGATCGCTACAGGTCAAGGTCGCGGGACAGGCGACGCCGGGAGAGGTCGCGCAGCCTGCGGAGGAACCAGTCCCGGTCTGTCGACAGGAGGAGGAGAATGTCGCGAGACAGATCGCGAGACAGGCACCGATCCCGAGACAGGAATAGATCGCGAGACAGATCGCGAGACAGGAATCGATCGCGAGACAGATCGCGAGACAGTGATCGATCCAAGGAACGCGAGAGGTCGCCGGAGAAGGGAGAGGCCGGGAGCAGCAGCTCGAGGGAGGGGTCTCCGAAGAAAGAGAAAGCCAGGGATAGCCCCGGGGAGGGTTTGAAAGAACGGGAGACGTCCCACTTGGCTGAGAACGGAGGGGATACCTTCAAGGAGAAATCTGAGGAGCAAGAAACCAAGGAAAAGTTGAACGAGCGAGGCGAAGGAATTTCGCCAACGAAGGAACAGAGAGTTAATGGCGAGACAATCAATTCAGCAGAAGGAGAGAAAGAAGGGTTGCTCTAGCAGTGGCGAGTCGACAGAGAGGGCTCTAGTCTCTTAGTAGCATCTAAAGAAAAAAAAGGCCCGGATAAAAATGTAATTTCTGAAATTACCATGACGAAAAAGCGATCGGAAATGTGAAAGGTGTGCAGAGTTGTACTTAAAGCCTGTAAAACTTTGTGCGTGAGGACGTGTATTGCAGACGAAGATGGCGTCGCGTACAGTATTTGTCCAATCAGTTTTGGACCAGATGGAGAAATGAGGTTGTACCCACGCTGCAGGAAAGAAAGAAGTGGAGTAAAACATACCCAAACATCGAGAAAGATGACATAGTTCTGATGTTCGATGAGTCGTTGCCTATAGGTGTCAGTGGCCACTCGGTCGTGTCCTCGAGGCCTCAGTTAGTGAGGACGGGTTGGTCAGGAAGTTGAAATTGAAAGTGGGGAAAAGTGTGTACGAACGACCCATCCATAAGGTGATATTGTTGATGACCCGATAGATCCATGCACAAAGAGCCGAACAGGGATGAGTAGGCCATTTTGGCCTCAAGGATATGAGAAACATGTAGCCCCAATAAAGACGATTTTTTCTGCGATAGGATGGCGCCACTATGCATATACACTGTGCTATGTGCGAATTGCATATATACAGAGATATATATATAAATATATATATAGAAATATATATTATGATATATACTAATATATATATAGTATATATGTATATATACATATATTAGAGAGATATATCATATATACATACATATTATATACACATATCGACACATGTGATTATGGGGTATCTGTGTAGACTATGACACTAGCGTTAGTGAAGTAGCTCATGTGGATTCGTGTGATGGTGTAGCGTGTTTGGGTGATTGGATGTGCATGTGTAATTCTATTCACGTTGATCTGTTGCGTCAGCGACAGTGGCGTAGCTAGGATTTTTTCAGTGGGGGGGCACTGCGGGGTGCCTTACATTTTCGTGGGGGGGCGGGCACAATTTATAATTTACTGGAGATGTGGTCGAACGCCTGTTTCTTTGTAATTATACTGTTCTAAGGCATTGTTTTTAATTCAATTTTTTCATACAAGCATGAATTTTGTGGGGGGCACTGGGGGGACAGAAGATTGTGGGGGCACTGGCCCGCCCAGGCCCCCCCAGTAGCTACGTGCCCCTGCCCCCCTCCGCTATGGTAAAATCCTCGTAACATCGCCCCTGATTGTATTGACATTGTAATCACATCTGTCTGACTATTTCATTGTTGAAAAGGTCCAAAAAATTATGATGCACGACCCACCAGACAAAAATCCTGATCACCCCTGTACCTGTTCCAGGAACTTGGTATTAGTGTGGCACAACTTATCGTAACACAGAAACGAGCTGTCATGTGGTCGGTCGGGGCGGGCGGGGCGGGGCTCTCTTCATATATTTCGCACTGTCGTCTCAGATAGTTTCGCGCGACACCGGCCAGCGAGGCACCAGCAGTTCTTTCCACATTTCGCAAGCTTATATCTTCCATATCTTAATGAATCTTCTGAACGAATTCTCCACCGTCATCCAACGATATACTCCCCTATGATTGCAAACTTAATGATGCTTAGCCACTGATCACTATATAAACTTTAATATAAAGATAAAGATTTTATCTATAGAGATCAGTGTTGCTTAGGGAGTTGTCTATATTCAAGCCGGTAGCGGGAGATTACGGTACGCATATATTTGCTAATATTATTCGAACTAATCATGCGTCAATAAACTCAAATATTCACGAAGACGCATAGCTTAAACACTGTTGTCTATAAAATATTATAATATATGGTATAAATGTATAATATCTATACATCTATATATATAATCCTATAATCTAATCTATAACTCTATATCTACTAATAATACTATATTATATCCGGTATCTACGAATATTAGGCAAATGATTCCCGTTACCGCTTGAATTCATTACCTCTGTGAATAGTGATGTTTGATTGACGCACTGATTAGTCAATATAGCAATAATTAAAATTCTAATATGCGCGCAGAGTGAATTACAAATGATCTAATTTCTAAATTCTAGATACTATAGACACATGTCTTAGCTATACTCTATGTGAATATTGAGTTTATTTGACGGGCCACAGATTATTATCCATATATTTGCAAATATATGCCGTACCGTAATCGTCCCCGCTACCGGCGCTACCCTCGATTGAGCGGTGCTTCAGCACTTTAAGATGCCATTTTATAGTTCGCCTACCGCCGTATCAGCCCTCCCAGGTCGCCGGCCGACCGGTCACACGGCGTTTCCAAGCGGAACCGTGAGTATGCAATCCCCTTGGGTTAGTATCTTATGGGCTTAATGCGAGTGGAACTGTCGAGCCGGACCAGTCTACTCGGCTAGCAATCGTCCTGCAAGACAACTTTACCTATCATAGGAGAATATCATTTCAAATTCATTGTTAGAGCTAGGAGAATGCATCCGTGTGCAGGCTATGACTGCCTAAGCAGACAGTTTAAGGGATGTGGAAAGGACATTTCATTTGTAAGTTCATAAATTCGGGAAATTTATAAAATAAAACAGCCATTGATTATTCCGTAGCCTATGACCACTGTGTTGTGGACGCTCGTGCCAGCGAAGCATATAATATTGACAGTACAGCAGCATGCTGGTAACTAACTACAGTAGGCCTATTGTAGTTGAATGAACGCTATTGCCTATGCATTTTATATGTTAAGAGGAATCAGTAGCCTCAGGTTCTATGGGTTACTTTCAGCTAATATTAGTTATAATTGCGCTAATAAAAAGTTTCATAGTTCAATCACTTATTAGAAATATTTTAAAAAAATGTTTTAAAACTAACGGACTTAGTTTGTTACAACGACGGTGGCGCCACTCAAAGCGCATCGATCCTGATAGTTTGCCCGGCAAAACCCACTTTCCAGGCAAGGGCTACCAGACGAGGGTATTTCTTATTATTGCATTTAAAAACCAAAAGGATTGTAATTAATCTTATAAACGGACATATAGTTCAGGTTATAATATGGATAAACTTTGCCATAAAATGAATATCGTTCGGCTTAATAGTCATTTAGGTAATCAATATGAAATTGCACTTTTGTGATTTGAGCCCTCCGTCATTTACCTGCAAAATGAAAAGCAAACTACCAACTTTTTCAGCGGTGCAGCACGGTCGCCGGGTGTCTGGCGCCGTTCAAATTTTGTAGCGTTGATGTAAATAATCTAATTAAGTATCTGGTGAAAATACATGTGGCGTATAGACGATTTGTTATACAGTAAGTACAGTTGTATGCAGTAAAATCCTAGAGGCTACTGTCCCTTTAATAGTTTGGAACAATAATTCAGAAATTTACCATTTCTGATTTCATAACCGATGATAACGTTAGCGCAGTAGGCCTACACTGTACAGGCTACAGGTGTATTGTAATTTTGTTGTTTTGTGTGGCGAACCAGCCTGTGTTCCTCGTGTCCGTGCGCCGTGCTGGGTATGTTGTGTGCGTTAGCAAAGGTCTGTTCCCTTGATCGCTAGGTACTTGTACTAAGGCCGACAAGGCTGTGCAACCGATTGTCTGTGCAACCGATTGTGATGTGCGCCCGCAGAGACGAGGAAGAAGATGAAGACTCAGGCTGCAGTTCATACCAGCCATTTTATTTTCTACGCATATGGCCATGCTCTACTCACGTAGACATGGTAACGCGTGATGTGGTAGACTGTAACACATAGAAATTACAAGCTTTAAATTCACACACAAACACAATAATGAAATCAAGTTATACATTACGCAGCAGCACGTTTACATGGTTATCACAGGTACATTGCTAACAAATGGCAACTTTGCATACACAATAAATCTCCATTTCACTCCTAATTCATCCGATAGAACCTTTAGATATTCTGACATATATTACTGGGGTATTCTGCGGCCTACGGCAACACTCCACTACACGTAACACATATTCTGCACCCCACGGCAACGTTCCGCATATATTACCAAGGGTATTCTGATATACACTAATATTCCGACATATATTAGCTTGGGTATTCTGATATCACTGCTACAAACACATTAGCGCGAACCATCCAATTTACTTTCAAAACGCTGAAGCCTTTCCTCAGATACGTCACGGGCCTCACATCAAATTTACATCAACCGTGAACAGGTACCCATTTCCCGGGCTGCAACGAATGCACGACTCTACATCAGACTATATCCAGACTACTTAAACTCAACGGCTACATACAATGAATTAACAATTTATATCAACGAACAGTCATAATATGGCGTACGTACGTATCTTACATAGAAAATTCACACAACTCCAACGCAAGATAACGACAAATACTAACGTATGGCTGACACAATTTTACCATTGAAATATCACGAACATAAATTGTTCTTAAACCAAATATACCGCTATCCGCATTCATATAACAGAAAATAACTCAGGTTCAGAGCGGTTGGACTGGATTAACCAGGAGCACCTGAAAAGGCACCCTCACCGCACGGACACCGCCACGCGAAGAACGCGAAATCAGTTGACCTAAATAAGCAGGACGTCCGGTAGTTGGAGCTACCAGAAAATGCGGAGCAACTAGTGTAACATCGCAAACCAACGCAAACATTTATCGCTGGAGATAACACTCCCCCCACAGAATGGCATAACTAAGTCAACTACAAAGCAAAAACACCAAAACTACACAAGAAAAAACTTAATAATATATGCTTCCCCTATCCGTTATTTCGCTTTCAACGAAATTACCGACGACCGAACCCCCGACAAATAGGTACCTAAACTCAACACGCAGATTCCAACAAGACAATCTTTGTGATTGGCCTTACCAGTTCCGTAGATTTCGTTCTCATGCGAACAGACCTGACATTCCCATCTCTACCTTCGAATGCTTCCACGACAATGCCCAAAGGCCAGAGATTTCTTGGCGTGTGTTCCTCTAAGAGAAGAACGAGATCACCCACAGTGGTATTCGTTTTCCTTTCAGTCCATTTTATGCGTTTCTGCAGTTCAGGAAGGTACATCCTGACCCACTTTATCCAAAACTGGTCAGCTAAATGCTGAACATGTCGCCAACGACGACGGAAAACATCTGACTTATCAAATTTACCCGGGGGGATCGTTGACCCAGCACGTAGAAGTAACAAGTGGTTGGGTGTGAGAGGAGTGGGGTCCCTGGGGTCATCGCTTAATTTTGTAAGTGGTCTTCCATTTATGATTGATTCAACTTCTGCAAACAACGTTTCAAGGATATCATCAGTTAATTTTACGGGACCAACCAAAAACCCTTCCATGACTCTTCTGGCACAACCAATCATGCGTTCCCATACCCCACCCATATGAGAAGCTGCGGGAGGATTGAAATGCCAGTCTATGTTTCTTCGTAAAGCGTACGCCTCGATTTCGTTGCGAGAAAGCTCATTGAGAGCCCTCTTGAGCTCGGCGTTGGCTCCTACAAAATTCGTTCCATTATCCGAATATACCTTGTCTGGGTGACCTCTCCTGGAGATAAATCTACGAAAACCATTAATGAACGACTCTGTCTCCAAACTATACAACATCTCAATGTGAACTGCTCGGGACACGAGACAAGTGAACATGCACCCGTAACGTTTCACTTCTGACCGATTGACTTTGACCAAAAAAGTCCCGAATACATCAATCCCCACATAGGTAAAGGGAGGCTTATCACTATCTACTCTCTCCTGTGGGAGATCGGCCATGATCTGGCATCTGGGTTTAGCAAATAACTTCCTGCAGGTGATATAGGACCGAATAATCCTTTTAATCAATGGTCGAGCTCGCACTATCCAGAACTTTTGTCTAACCAGACCGAGAGTCAACTCAACACCCAGATGTGCTGTATTATGATATTCAGTAGCAATAGCCTTAGCCACAGCATGATTTCCTGGAATGATAACTGGGTTTCTGACTGTCAATTTCGACTCGCTCAACCGTCCACCTACCCTGAGTAAACTATTATCATCAAGGTATGGACACAGATGCTTCAAAGAACTTGATTTCTTGATTTCCCTCCCCTCGGATAACCTTTTAATTTCCTGAGGATAACAACGCTCCAGAGCAGATTTGATTAAATAACGCTCTGCATGCTGAATGTGACCAACAACCAATGAGCCTAATTTTACCGTTTTATGCTTACAGACATCTGCTAACCTGATCCACCATGCAATCGCTCTTTTCATTCTGAACCACCCAGAAAAATGATTTGCCATCAAGTCTACAGGATTCCCACCATGTGAACTACGATCCGTGCCAACATCTGCCACATGACACACTCTAACTGGCTTTCTTTTTAACTCAAGATTATCCGCTGACACGCTCCTTCTGCGACTGGGGTTATCTCATCATCAGCATCTCTTCCCTCTATCATTATCTCATCATCAGCATCTCTTTCCTCATTTCCAATCTTCCACAGTGCATGTATGTTATCAACAATTGGAGCAGACAAAGCACTTACAAAATGTGACACAACTGTACGACCGATCTTACCAACTGGAGATTGACCATTGATACACCAACCAAACAGCGTTCTAGCAGCGAAAGGCTCACCTAGGCCACCTTTCCGTACTT